AGTTCAACATTTATTACTTATGTTGAACTAATTATTTATATGTTTCTGATCAACCTATTTGATGCAGGTATGGCGTACGACACACCGGCGCTGTTGAACCGTGGGATTGACAGGAACCACCGCTCGTTCCTGTCAGCAGTCGAGGGTGCACAGCTCGGCACCTTCCGTCCACGCACGTCGCGCGAGTGGTTGCGTGTCGACCCCCGTCACGTTCCTTGGTACGCGTATGTTCACATTTCAACTCAACTTTGCTTTGTGTTGTACTTATGTTTGAAGTTTGCTCTATACAGGTTGCGTGCGGCAGGCCTTCTACCACTTTGTAGGCTTGTTGAGGCGGCGGCGGACGACCGTGACCCAGCGAAGCGGTGGGATGCAGATCGGTCACTCCTTGCCGCTCTTGTAGACCGCTGGAGACCTGAGACGCACACGTTCCACCTTCCCTGTGGGGAGATGGCTCCGACACTGCAGGACGTGTCGTACCTGCTCGGGCTACCGCTGGCGGGAGCAGCAGTTGGTCCCGTGGACGGTGTTTTTGGGTGGAAGGAGGATATCACTGCACGCTTCGAGCAGGTGATGCGCCTTCCACACCTAGGACCGACCACCACCCTTCCTCCGTACTCTACAGTCGGGCCTAGCAAGGCTTGGTTGCTCCAGTTCACTGTAAGTAAATAAGTTGTTATTATCATACGTGCTTATTTGCGACCGAATGAGTGTTTTGTACTAACATTTCATTCTTAATTGTAGGCGGACCTTCTGCACCCTGACGCTGATGATTACTCGGTCCGACGCTCCCTTGAGGCGTACCTGTTGTGGTTGTTCGGGTGGGTGATGTTCACTAGCACCCACGGGCACGCTGTGGACTTCCGGCTGGTCCACTACGCACGGTCCATCGCGGATGCTCAGCCACAGGACGTGCCGCAGTGGAGCTGGGGTTCTGCCGTGCTAGCAGCCACGTACCGTGCCCTCTGTGAGGCGTGCACGAAGACTGACGCGGGAGCGATCATCGCTGGCTGCCCTATGTTGCTTCAGCTTTGGGCAGCCGAGAGGTTTGCCATAGGTCGACCAGTGGTGGACAGCGCACCCTACGGGGTTGGTCGCAGCGTGCAGTGGCCAGAGGACGGTCCCACGATGGGGACTTACTGGTGTCGACGTGGGGTTAGTGCAACTTCGCTGCGTTATAAGTTTATCAGTCGTCTTTTTTTTTTCTTCACATAACATGTCTAATTCCGATCATGTTTATTGCAGCGTCGTTACGCTCACGTCCAGGTGAGACGTGGTTACCCGGACTTCGTGTTCGAGTTTGACCGTCTCCAGCCGAGCGACGTCATCTGGGAGCCGTACACAGAAGAGGCCGTCGCTGCGAGAGCACCGCTAGGACTTTCGTCCTTGTGCACACGCGACCAGGCTTACTGGCTCACCATCCTGCCGATGGTGTTCGACATTTTCGTTGAGCCTCACTGCCCGCAGCGTGTGATGAGACAGTTCGGACTTAGGCAGGTGTTTCCGGGCAACGTGCAGCCGACCGTCCTCCCTGCCGACCACTCGTGAGTTCGGATTGTTCATTTCTAAATTTTTATGATAATTACTTCATCGAGCCATATAATTTACCTCTCTTCACAGGTTGACTCGACGGGGACAGCTAGCAGGCGCACTTTGGGCTCCACGTGTACAGCAGTACGTTGACGACTGGGTGTTAGCTACAGAGGAGGTGATCAACGAGCTCTTCCCACACACGGAGGAGAACTACCGTGACTACCTTCGTTGGTACCTTCCTCGCACTCGTGCGCGTGTGACCTTCACTCCAGACGCCCCAGAGCCGCACGTTGCCGCTGTCACGGACGCGTATCCCACGCACCGTGACCGAGACTACTTCGTGGCGGTACATCCAATTTGTATTACTTCTTACAATTATTTCATTTATCTTGCATAATATAGGACAACTACTGAATTTGTTATTTCCATCTTGCATAGGCTGATGCCGCACGGGATATCAGTGCCGATATCACCGCAGTCCAAGTGAGGTTGAACAGAGGTTTGCACTTGACTGACGTTGAGCAGAGGGTGACCTTCGACCGGATGCAGGAGAAGATGCGTGCGGTCATGCGCGTCTTCTCCTGTCGCAGCGCCGTGGACGTCGTACCTCCAGCTGGTCCGGTACAACCACGGCCTCGCGCGCCTACCGTCGGAGCAGGACCTCGACCTACGGCACCTATTTCGCACGGTACTGCTCAGCCCAGAGGTTTCTTAAGTTTTGTTTCTGTTTTTGTACGAAAACATCACCCCGTCGTAACTTGATGATCCATCCTCGCAGGACCTCGTTTGCCTTCGAGCGCCCCTAGCTTCGGATCAGTGCGACCTACAGCACCGGTTTCGCACGGTACAGTTCAGCCCAGATATTAGTTCATTTTTGTTTCAGTTTTTGCACGATTATGTCACCATGTTTTAACTGCACGTTTCCTCATCGCAGGACCTCGTCTGCCTTCGAGCGCGTTCGCAGGCACGACCGGCGCTTCCACGAGCTCCGCAGGGGCGTTCGCCACCTCTTCGGGCGCGTTCGCCACCTCTTCCTCTCACGGAGCGTCGATCCCTCGCCCACACGGTACTTTACTTTTTATTAATACTGTTAAATACCTGTACGAAACTGATGGTCCTTGTCCAGCAGGATTTGCAGCCGGGATCTTCGGTACTGGGGCCTCTTCGTCTCACGCCGGTAGGACTGGTCCTACTAGCCAGTTCTACGACGACGACTTGCACGGTGCAGACCACCACGACATACTAGGCTCCTCTCAGCTTGGAGGAGCTCCAGAGGCGCACACTCAGGAGCAGCCAGAGGTCACACCTGTACAGGCAGGACGGGTTGGCCGTGCCGTACCCCCGGACCGACTCACGTACTCCCACGGGCACATTAGGGCGCAGGGTAGGAGGGACAGGGGTAAGAGGCCTCGTCAGTAGTGTTCTACCTCTTCAGTCCTTATGTGACCGTTTCTTTTGGCTTACAAACTTGTAAAGCAGTACTACTTTTGCTATTACTACTGCAGTACTACTTGTGTTTGTCTCGTCTACATAGTTCTTTTCATTCATATGGTGCTAGAACAACTTATGCTCACGACAACACACTTTCGGCGCTGCACGGTAGTGTCAGATCCAGTAGCGCGCACAGTCCACAACAGCACACATGAAAAGCGGCAGCTCGAGTTATCACTATCAACTTTCGGCGCTGCCTGTTTACATAAAGTGAATCACGCCCACGCGTGATCGTCTTGTCACATCTAATGAATAATGTATCTCATTGAGTTCACATATATTGCAGTGAAAACGACGCTATATAATTGACAATCTGAAGGCAACCTCTTCATATCTTCTTTCCCACTAGCACACAACACACGAAAATGGAAGCCTATTCATTGGTAATACGTAATCTAGATTTGAGATTATGTAGAACATTCTTCACTACAATTTTACATTTTGGCAGCAAACCAAATATGATCAAATGCAATTTTACCTTACCAAATATTTGGTCGTGAAGAAAAATTTGGCACTAACAATCCAAATATGCCCTAAAAATTAATAAAATATTTGTACGGTAACAAAATATTTGTACGGTAACAATCCAAATATGCCCTAAAAAATAATAAAATTGTATTTTACCAGTCTTGGAGATTTTAATCTTGTATAGTTTTCAATATAAAAAGATTTGATAACTATTGATATTTATACAAAAATATAGAGCACAGTACAAAATCGCCCTTGCGGAGGGCGGCAAGGGGGCCGCCTGCAAAATTCCATGCCCCCTCGCCGCCCATTTGCAGGCGGCCCCCCGCACAGTACAAAATCGCCCTCGCGGAGGGCGGCAAGGGGACCGCCTGCAAAATTCCATGCCCCCCCTCGCCGCCCATTTGCAGGCGGCCCCCCGCACAGTACAAAATCGCCCTCGCGGAGGGCGGCAAGGGGACCGCCTGCAAATTTCGTTGACGGCCGTCGCCCGAGAGCGAACGGCCGTCTGCCACGTCATTTTCGCCGCCCTCTGGGAGGGCGATTTTTAAAAATCGCCTTCCCAGAGGGCGGTAGGCGACTACTTCCGTCAATTTTCAAAATGGAAAATTATTTTTGTAAAACTTTTAATAAAAAAAATTAAAAATAAAAAAAATTCTTCCTCTCTCTTACTCTGGCCGACAGGTGGGACCGGCTGTCCGCTCCCTCTTCAGTCTTCAACCGCCGGCCACCGCCCCACGTCGCGGCCAAATCTGCGCTCTCCACCTCCTCCACGTCGTTCCCCACTCTACCCGCGGAATCCGGCGGCGCACCACCCCCACGACCTCCGCGAAGACCGGAGCTTCGCGCCCGCCGCCTCGCCTCGATCTCGGCCTCCCGGCCCAAAAAAAATACTACCCATATGCTCCCTTCACCGTTTTTCCCCTCCTCCCGACCTCCCGCGCATAGAAACCACCTCCCCACCGTGCTCTCTTTCTCCGCCGCACTCCGGCCACGCGCCGCCGCCGCCCTAACCGCCGCCGAGCCGCTCCGCTTGCACCGTCAGCATCGCCGCGCCGAGCTCTATCCCGGCCCTTACTCCATTTCCCTCTATCGCCACCTAAACGCCGCCTTCGCCACGTAACCCGAGCCGCCGCCTCCAGCCGCTCCCCGCCGATGAGAGAAGCCTCGCCCGGCCGTGCTGCCGCCTCCAACAGCGTCGCCGCCCCACCGCAGCCCTGCCGCCGCTCCACGTCGCCAGAACACCGCCGGAGCCCCATCTCCCTCGCCCGCCGCTGAGCTTCTCCATTTCCCCCTCCCTCCGGCCGGCGTTCCTCGCCGCGCATCCTCCTCTCTCCCTAACTTCCCCATCATCTTTCTCAGGTCGCGCTGCTCCTCGGCCGCCCCTCCACCTTCGCCGGAAGCCGTCGGACCGCCATCCGCGCCGCCTCCCCGAGGAGCGCCACCGCCTCATCCCCGCCATTGGCCACCCCCCCTCTCCGCCTCACTGGCCCGCACGCTCGGTGAGCCTCCACTCCCTCTCCCCACCTCCCTCCACCGCTTCCCGCGCTGCCGCTGCTTGCCGCCGGTCGCTGTCTCACCAAACAATCAAGATTTCTCTGAAGCTAATATAAATTCTACAAGTGTCCCGTTCAATAGGTGCATCTTTCTTCGTTATTGTCCACTCCTTCGTAGGCATACATTTATACTTCAAATTTCCCTTGTTTCCCACCTCTCTGTATAGGAGTATTCATATATGGATTAATTGTCACTGCTTCTGTGGTCCAGTTTTAAAGTTGAAGGTTTATTCTACATACCTTGTGCATCTTAAATAATTAATTTCACCTGTGATCAAACTGCCTCGGTCTGTGCCACTCCATCGAAGGTGAAACACATGAATTCAGTAAGAACAGCATACTGCATATTCATGGTCTCTTCTAGCACATATCCTGATCATTTTTTATTGCTAAACTATTGATATCTTCATACTATAAACCTCGAATGACTGTTTGTCTACTAATACCATCTATCTCATTCCCTTTAGAGCTAAAAATGCATTGCACAATTGTTAGTCAAGTGACACATAGCTCCACTACCTAACTTATTGTTATATTTGTACCGGATCATGTATTCCAGCAACATTTGGCAACTTTAATGCCATATGTTTTTGTGGTATGCTGATTCAGATTCATGTCCTGGATCTTTCTGTGCATACTAATTTAACCTTTTTTGGGTAAATTACATAGGTACTAATCTTTAAGTGTAAACTATATACTTCCTCCGTTTCACAATGTTAGTCATTCTAGCATTTCCCACATTCATATTGATGTTATTGAATCTAGATAAATATACATGTCTAGATTCATTAACATCAATATGAATGTGGGAAATGCTAGAATGACTTACATTGTGAAACGGAGGGAGTACTAATCTTTATGGGTAAACTACTAATCTTACAACATACATGCTGGTATGTTAAATCCTTTGGTATCTCCTAAAAAATTGCTATATCCTTTGCTATATACATATTCCTGCCATTTTGCCAAGTAAATGAGTTGTGCCCTTCATATCATCCATGAGGTAAGTGTATGATATTAAATAAAATGAATCAACATGTTATCTAATCTATATAATGTTTGTACATTTGATTCAACGAATACATATATGCAGACAAGGCTGGTTTATTTTAAGGAAGGAAATGTACCTCTTCTCTTTTTCATTGATCTAGGAGTACTAATCAGCCAGCTTATATTTCATTTTTGCACTTGATATTTGGTGCCATCTCACTTGTCATCTCATAGTATTATCGATTCATTGTTTTTCACCTTGCTTTCAAGACGATGCTTATACCAAACAACATAGACGGTTGCACTATATGTGTTTTAGATTTTATGATAACCATTCCTTAAGTTCACTTTTTTTCCCCTTTCATGGTACTAGCAGATAAGCAGCCATCAGACCCTACCATCCTGCTTTGTTTTGCATTTGAGATTGCATTTACCACCTTTTAGGGTTGCTAACTTTCTTTCCATTTTATTCGCTATGTTATATGATGTATTGTTTAGTAGGACAATATCAACGAGGGCAATTCCAGTTCACAGTGCTTTAGAGAGCCACCGCATTTGTATGTTAAAAAATATGCTGTCAAGTTGATGGTACGGCAATGAGCAAACTTCTAAGGTTCGAAACTACCATGTGCTCTGATCTCAGCAACATACGTCAATATAGATATCATCATGTTCTAATTTTATGAATTTAATTTAATTAGGAGAAAGATTGTTACCATTGCTAAAATAGGAGTATTCGAAGAAATAGCTACCTCCGTGACTGACTGACTATTGATGAATCATATGTGTTTATGCAACCATCTGCTTCAGGGCCTATCAATGGGCAGGTCCTACAACTGTTTATTTGATTGACTTGCTGCGGTGCAGTGGCTTTTCTTGGTGTGACGGGTCTTTTCAACATCGCAACCTTTACCTTGAGTTAAATTCATTGTCCTGCTCTGTTATTGAAATGAGTTCAATCCAAATTCTGTGGATGTTGCTTGCTGCTTCACCAACCTAACAGGTGATTTCAGAGTTCCAATGATTTTACACTGTTACTACTTCCCATTTTAGCAGGATAGATCAGCAAATGCAATTTGTTTCCTCTCCTTTTATGAAGAATTATATACTATATTGTCAATTTATATTCAGGAACCAGTGCACCACAGCGCTACTTTCAGATTTAAATATTCATACCTATTACATCTTATATTGTTGACTGCCTGGTTAATATGTTGGAGATATATACGTGATAAAATGCACTGAAGCAAATTTCTCTCTATCCATGTGGCTGCTTCTTGAAGTGGAGTTGCTTCACACAGACATCACTGATAGGATGAGGTTACAAGACTGAGCAGTGAGCACTCGTAATCTTCACTTCAAACTTGAAAGTTCAAGTACAAGATGTGATACTGATGTTACCACGTTGGAAGACAATTCCATTGCCTCTTTTCTTAAGCCTTGAAGATGACGACTGTTATAGTGCATGATTAGTAAAAAAAATGTCGTTGCATATACATTGATAATTTATTGATTATTTGTGTTTATTCTTTTTATTTTGCACATTGTTAATATGTTCTTATTAAAAGCATTATTTTACTGGTTTAATGATTACTAGCCATTTTAGTTGTGCATTGTGCAACTTTAGATACCCGTATAATAGCTTGCTTTTGGTTGCAAATGTCTCAAAAAAATTTTTTGAGATGAATCGTACATCGCTATTAAGGCTTTGTCCATGTGAGACCAAACAAGCAAGAGTATCTTATGTGTATATATTTTTAATGCCATTGTCTGATATTAAAACTATGCATACAAGCTTCCCGTGCATACTTAGTGCACATCAACTAGCAAATATCACGGAAAATTCTAAAAAGAGTTGGACACATATTTCCAATAGTAATACCTACATGTGAAATTTTATCTTCAAATTCATTATATTTTAGCCGTAAAAAAAAACAAAATTCTGACAGATTTTTACCCTTAAAACTGTCAGATTTTTTAATTTTTTTACGGCTAAAATATAATGAATTTGAATATGAGACTTTGTAAATGCTATTAGGAGTAAATGTTCATTTTTTTTATAGAATTTTTCATGACATTTGCTAATTGGTGTGCACGGAAAGTTGGTGTGCATAGAATATGTTCCTTTTATATTTTGGGACGAATGTAGTATAATATACCAACATGTGATTCAACTATATAAAATTTATCAGTGGCTTAAAATTTTCTGAAAGGACAATCAACATCATAGAGGACTTGCAAACACAGCATAGTACTTACGCACCGAGTTTTCCCATCCAACCCAGATGTTCAGCAATGACATTTTTCTCTACCTGATAAACAACCGGAGACAAGATGATGATAAGATAAATGTGACACATCTGGTTCATAGAAAATTAATTGGCTGCAAAACATAGCATTAACAGCACGCCACGTTGCCGACGAGTCATCCTTACCTGACAGTAGGAGCACTTGGGAAGGTTCGGTATGACATCAAGGGTGAAGCTGAACTGGTATCCTTTTGGAAAATCATGACAAGTGTTATTGACAAAATTTCTTCCGGCTCCTAGAGTCATCTCTCCTATGCGTACTGGTGGACGGATCGGGGTCAGTCTAGATGAGGGGGAAGCGGCGACGAAATAAACAGAAAAAGAGGAGCCATGCACTGAGTATTCCTCTGCTGCACATTGCAGACAAAGGCTGTGTTTAGTTCAGCGCAAAGTTTGAATTTTGGTTGAAATTGAATATGATGTGACTGAAAAGTTGGGTGTGTATGACAGGTTGATGTGATGGAAAATGAATGAAGTTTGGATCCAAACTTTGGATCTAAACACAACCTTTCTTTACCATGGACGGCAAAAACCCATGCATATGTTCTCGTTGCTGTGTTGACTATATCTGGGAGGGCCACGGCTAGGCGAGTAGAGATTGCAAGGCGGCAGCGGTAGCGGCGGAGATGGGTAGAGGAGGAGGCGGATGACGGCGGCGGAGGCGCGAAGCGGTGTCTCGCGAGGGAAGGCGACGCAACAAACAGGGAGAAAGGGGGAAAAATGTAAAAGATGAAAAGAAAATTCAAGGATGTGGAAGTACAGAAGCTTATATAAGTTTTCTAAAGGGCCAAAAAGAGATTTCATCAATTAGCAGATCTAATGGTCTAAAACATCCGAAGGAGAAATCGTATGGTCCATATTATTTTAATAACATGACGAATTACCGTCTTGAGAAAGATTAGATGCTTCACTGCTTTACATTGTGGGTTTTTTTATCATAACATATTATATGCCATATTTTCCGTTACCGTTCACATCTTGGTCCTGGGCATGCCACGCCTTCCTATCTAGCGGCCTACTCCCTCTGTCCCATAAAAAACGAATCTAGTATCGGATGTAACATAAGTACTATGAATCTGGACATATCTCTACTAATTAAAAAATTCGTAGTAGTGATGGTGAAACCAATATAGACGTGCGATCCAACCTACAAAACGTACGTTGACACGTTCGGAGGGACGCACTCCTCCTCCTCAACGAAAAAACGGCGCACGTGATTCCTCCGCAACGGAAAAAAACTGGCGCCACCCCCAATCCGTCACCACTCACCCGCCGCCGCCGACTCCTCCGAGCTCCCTCCTCCCTCGTCGCGCCTTCCCCTCGACCCGCGCCGCCCACGACCGCCGCCCAGCCGTCGTCGCATCCCGCCTCCTCCACACCATCGCCGACGCTCCACGCCGCCTCCGCCGCATCCCCGATCTAGGCCGCTCTGGGCGCGCTCCTCCTCCGCGAATCGCTTTTCTCCCCACAGGCAGATCGCGCTCGCGATCCAACCGCCGACGCCGCTCCCCTCATCCTTCGCCGCGCCCCTACCACGCCTCCACCGCCGGCGCTCCCATCGCCGCGCCCCCACCACGTTTCCGCCGTCGCGCTCCCGTCATCCACTCCGCCTCCACCGCCGGCGCCCCCACCACGCCTTCGCCGACCGCCGCTCCTGCTCGCCCGAATCCACGCCGCCGCCGTCGCGGGTCGACGTCGCTGCTCCTCCCGCGGCACCCCCACCGCCGGATCGGCGGGACTCCGCCCGCGCCCCCCGCCCCCACCGCCCCGCATCCCCCTCCCCCTGCCGACGGCTGCGGCGCGGCCACGGGACGAGCAGCAGCCGATCACCCTGCCGCCGCAGAAGGTTGTCAGGACGGCGGCCGGCGAGGCTTCCCGCTCCTCCTGTTAAGGTCAGTCTGTAACCCACACTGAAGATTCTTTTATAGAAGTAAGTTGTAGTTAATTACAAGAACCTAGATCTGTTACAGCGAAGGCGGTGTCTTCTGTTCATCTCTACATCTACCCTGCAGATGCAGAGAATGGGGGGTGGCCACAACCCATGGGGGTAGGGGTGGCTTCCAGTTCCAGCGGTCAAGCAGGGAGAGATGGCAGCGGCGACGGCTAGCAGGGCGGGTCTGACTTCAGCGGCTGCCATCCGGCAACGATTGTTGTAAGTGCTTGATTTGCCATTTCGTGATTCTCGGTCTGATTTTTCATAATTTGTTTCAGGCTTTAGCCTTTGCCCATTCCTATGTGGATGCTGCTTCTTTCTGCCAAAAAGAGTTGAATGCTCCTACTGCTCTTGGTAGGGACGATTCTATGGGATGCATGGCATGAACCATGATCGGTTTCCTGTTGTTCTTGAAATCCTCTTTGATTGGACCATGATATAACAGAGCAATGGACAATGGTGGTAGATACCATTTAGTGGTTCGCAGGTAATCTGAAAAATTAATCTAATCTTGTTGTACATATCATATGCTGAAAAGGTTTTCAGTGAGAAGAAACCTAAGACATCATTATGTCGCTACTTAGAAAAGGCCAATATTTTACGATCTCCATTCTGGTTTATGTTTAGTTAGTTAAACCCTGACATTATTATCCTGGGAAAATACATGAGATGCTTCAGTCTAAATGTTTTGGTTCAAGTATTTCTTAATGAGATTTTGTTCGGTACTTTTAAATTGCAGAATTGTCTATTTTGTGTTGTAGTTCATCATCTTCAGAATGTGATGGACTAATGGCATTGTCGATGCCTCAGTGGTAAGCAAGAACCAGTGATATTAACCTTGTGAATTAAGAAAATTAATGTATGCACCACTGGTAGATCGCTTTAGAAGCAGTGATATTAACCTGGAGTATTAAGAGAGTTAATGCCTGCACCACTGGTATATTTATTTATGTCATGCATGTTCCATTGTTGCCATAAAAAAGGACCCATATAATTAAAGTGGAAGAATAATAAAAATTGTTGTGGCCATACATCTTCTATTTTTCCTTTTTTTCTCTCTGCAATTGTTCTGTTAATTATGACATATGTGCTTCTTCACACCAGCCACCTTGTGCTAAATTGCAGCTCAGTGGTGGACTAGCAGCTCATGTTTAAGCATGAATGATGTGTACTCAGCCAAAATAACGAGATGCTCTTGCAATATAGGAACCATGTGCACACAATATGGTGGTATGAATTTTTTAATTATATTTTGTAGTAGTGACAGATCCAGCCGTCAATCTTTCTATGCAGAGTCTCATCCTTACCATTATAATTTCCTAACTTTTGCTTGTTTATCGGGATCAAGGAACTACGGAAGTTGCTATCTTCCACACCATCACCATATGCCCCATCTCCAATTCATCCTCCATTCACCGGCGGGCAGTCCATGGCGAAGTCCTATGCAATTCCAAATCCAATATCAGGATACTGAGGACCTCCTGGTGCTCCACCACTCTGAAGTTACAAAGTATGCATCTGGTGGATCGCTCACCTGATACTTTTGCTGACCTTGTTGTAAAGAAATTGACTGACGTGTTTTGGGTCTATCTTAATAAACTGGAGTCCACAGGATTTCTGTTTTTCTAATAAACATTGTGACGCAGGTTCGAGTCTGGAACTCGGGATCTATCGATGGAGTTTGGCTGTTCCATTGTGATTTACCCGGTGCAGTTCTCCTTGGTGGCACAATGATGCATCGAAAGCAGTAATGTGGTGCTGCTCTAGCTCTTTTAATGAGTTCCAAAAAAAAACTACTATACGGATGAGACTAACATGTGAATATGCAGATGAAATATGCAGATTTAGAGACCTTGGAATTTTTCTGAAAGAAATTCAGAAAGCAACATGAGTTATTATTATTTTTTCTGTATTTTATGGTTTACCACATTGTTGTAACAAGTTTAGGTCTAAATGACTACAACCATGCTCTTGAAAAAAGCATTGATGACAATCCTATCACTCAATTGCTTTGCGAAGTTTTAACCAAAGCCTATTGATCAGTTATTGGCGATGGGCAGCAAAATGGTGCGCAATACATGTCCATTCTACCGCCTCCCGCGACTAAGGCTGTCAAAAAAAGCTCGAGGCTCGTGAGCAGCTCGAGCTTGGCTCGTCCTAGGCTTGATTCGAGCTTGGCTCGAGCTTCAAACGAGCTGAACCCGAGCCTGAGCAAAAGCTCGCGAGCTTTACCGAGCTCGAGCTTCTACCGAGCTTAACTGTGTATAGTTTATATTGCATGTTCACCTTATTGATATAATAAACTAATAGATAAATATATCTCTACTACTTAAAAATTCTGTAGT